GCTGTAAAAGATTGTGAAAATAACGTAAATGTAGACTACAAATGTTCGGCTTGCATTTTCAAAACAAAAAGTGTTAAAGATATGACTTCTCACATACAGATACATTTGTTTAACAAAACTTTGAAGGTTTGCCCCTTTGACTGTTCTAAATCTTTCGTAAACTCTGGTTGTTTTAAGATGCACGTTGTCAGAAAGCATAAAAGGGTAAAAGGAGCAAAGCCATCAGATCAAGAGGCACTTGATACTCCTTCCAATGAAGAAACTACGCATTTGGAGAAACGCTTAATGGATAACCCTCAAAGCTCTAGCTCCAAATCCTTTCAAAACTTCTTCGCAACATTGAAATGTAAATTTGGGGTCAGCGATGCCTTAGATTCTTTTGTAATTGAGTTAAAAGATATTTTAGAATGCCATGATAAAGAAAAGAGAAAATACATTTCTGATTTATGTGATACCATGATACAAAAATAGAAGGTAGTTTCATTTATTGACATTCGTTGTTGTTGTCGACCACTTGACTTTTAACAAGTTTATGACATTTAGCTAAAATCACGCTACCAGATTCACTAGCAGAAAGATTTTTGTTTTTTGAAAAAGTAAGAACAAATTTTTAAGTCAGTGAAATTGGATGCATATATTACAGAAAATTCTTGCGCGTTTCCAAACTGCAAGAATTCGGTACACCTGTGAAAAGGTTTGAAAATAAATTTTTTGCTTTTCCGAGGATAAAGTACTTAATACAATCTAATGCAGTTTAATGACAAATTGCCGACGCAAAATATTTTTAAACCTCTAAACGATGTGCCGTTATCCATGGAAGTGGGAGAAGGTCGAGTTAAAATGATGCCCGGCAACTTGTAACAGTACCAATTTTTGGGTTCCCAGAATTTTCTGATAAAGATGTGGCGCTTCTAACAAATATATATACATAAATATAAGCAAGAAATTATGAATTTGTGACAAAAATTATCCACAAAAGATGAAAACTACTTCAGTTGCATTTTATAAAATTTTTGTTTATAGAAAAATGCACAAGTAAGACAGTTCACGTGCGGTTCCGTTATTTGTAAAATGGTCTTAGGTTATCGTGTCCAAACTCGTGACCCGAATAAAAAAATTTTAACATATACGTCTAGCCAAAGGATTAAGCTTTAATTTAAAAGAAAGATTTCGGTTTGAAATATGCACTTTTTTTTGTAAATTTGGAGGTGGATTTTGCGCAAAAATACTGTACATGGCATAACCTGAATTGGACTGATGAGGTTATGTTTTCTGGCGCGGCCGAAGGCTACCACCGCGGAAAGGAGTTTTGCGCAAAAATACTGATGATGGCCTAACACGAGTTTAATTTTTTTTTGCGAACATGCTTATTTTACCCCATTTTGAAATGGCCCCCGAGTGCTTGTAGAAGGTTGGATTTTTTTAAATTTTATACTATGCTCTTTTTAATGAATGTAGTTTTAGGTGGCACACCCCTTCTCCCTCCGCTCTCCACCAAAACATCATTGTACAAATACTTAACCGAACATTTCCCACGCACAACATTAAATCCTCTGATGTATTGTTTGATTGCTATAAATGTGGCAAGATTACTCACAATTGTGTACAATTTATGAAACTTCAAAAACTTATTTTTTGTCAAAAATTTTGAAATGAAACTACCTTCTTTTTGTATCATGTGTGATACTCTTAATTTGTCAGAATACAAAGAAATGTTTACAAGTGCGGTATCAAACAAAAGTTTAATTTCCGAAATTGTTAAATCTGAGTCGGCATATAAAAGAAATAATTTCTTAAGAAATAAAAATAATTACGTTTCTCCGAAAGAAATTCATCTTGGTTTTGATCAATATCACAAAAAATGTATTTTTCATTATATTCCAATTCTTGAAACACTTGAAGTTCTATTGCGTGATAAAATAGTTTTTAAACTTTTTAGTAACAAAAAAGTGTCTAATGTGAATTGTTATTCCGATTATAATGATGGTTTAATTTACAAGCAGAAAGAATTTTTCAATGAAAATTTGAACAGAATTGAATTGCTTTTATTTCAGGATGCCTTCGAAAACTGCAATCCTTTAGCTTCGTCTAAAAAGAAGCACAAGTTGCTAGGCGTTTATATGATGATTGGAAATATTCCAAAAGAATTTAGATCAAATATTCATAATATCCAATTAGTTTTGCTTTGTAAAGATACTTACATAAAGTTATTCGGATTTGAAAAAATTATGGCTCCTTTAATATGCGATTTACGAAAACTAGAAGAAAATGGAATTGACTTTCTTTTAGACGGTTCTAACCAGAACTATCGTGGAACTTTATTTTCAATGCTTGGTGACAATTTAGGCAGCCTCCAAATAGGCGGCTACACTGAAAACTTCAGCTCAAGCAAGTTTATGAGTCGATATTGTTTGTTCAAGAGAGAAAATTTAATATATTTTAATGTAGATATCGGTGAAAAGCGTACCCGCCAAAACTATGAAGCATGCCTTAATAACCTTTCAAATCCTCCTGATTTTGGTATGGGAATAAAAAAAGACTCATGTTTAAATGAATTAGGCTACTTTCATGTTTGTGAGGGACTTCCTCCCTGCATATCACACGATTTATTTGAAGGCATTATACCCTACGATTTGATGGAAGTGTGTAAATATATGTGTATACAAGATGTTATTTCAATTGATTACATAAATATGAGCCTTTCATCATTGAGAAAAAAATTTAAATTAAAACTGTCTTTCCCACATGTTAACCTCAATATGAAAAAAACTCCAGGAAAGGCCGATGAAATCCTACATTTCTTAGTGATATTTCCCTTCATATTTTTCAACAAGTCATCGATAAATAAAGATCCGGTGTGGAAGTTTCTCACTGTAATGATTGAAATGTGTAGGTTGATAAACAGCTCTGAGTTAGATGAAAATCAAATCTCTTTACTTTCACATTGTATCACAGTATATATGGAATATAGAAGAGAATGTTTTCCACTTTCAAAGTTGTGGCCAAAACATCATTATATATGTCACATCTGATAAGAGAATATTGTCCCCTTAAACATTTATGGACCATGCGTTTTGAACAAAAACATCAATATTAAAAAAAAATATCTAAAACGATGAAAAATTTTAAATATGTATCTTTAACTCTTTCTGAAAAACATCAGCAAATGCAAGCCAACCTTTTTGAAACCAGATTTCAATTAAAAATTGTTTGCAATAGTTACGAATTTATTTCTGAAAACATGTTTTATTTTAATTTATCCCAAGTTTTACACTCGTTACAAAACAAATTAAATTCCATGGCACAGAATTCAAAGAAAACCATTTCATTGTCATTGATTCTGACGACCTGGGCAATATTACAGTCCTTAAAATTAACTCAATATTTTTGGAAGCTAACTGCGAAAATGCGATCTTTTACGGTGCTATTACAAAGATGTGGTACAACTACAGAATAGTTTTATTTGAAAGTTATCAATTTGAAAGGTCGTATAGTTTAATAAACTTAGGTGATATCCTAATTAAAAATCCAGTTCACGTTTTGTATGTAAAAAATAAATATTATCTTTCTTTATTCTCAACACTTGTCGAAAAGAAAGATTAGAATTAATGTAAATATCACTTTTTTCCTAAAACATATACTTACATACATAAATAAGCACATATAACATATATATTATAGTTAGAGCTACCCATATATATATTCGTAAATAATAAAGTACATACATAATTGCAACGGCTGAGTACGTGTGCAAGGTATGGAGCGCTGATGACTTTAGCATCTACGGATACATTAATACAAGCAGGTATATTTAAAAATCTGTATATACATTATGTGACATACTAAAAACCAAATATTTACAGCACTTAATTTTGGTATTAAAGGGTCCAAAATAGTCTTAGAGTCCGACAGAACCGAAGTTTGTGGTGACGCAGTTCTGGCGCAATATTTAAAACAAAATGAAACTTTGATGATCATAGATAATGAAGAATCGTGCGAGAGAGCAGAAAGCAGTACTTCAGCAGCGGCATTTCAAAGAGGCACTCTTGAGCAAACTAATTCAAGTGAGTTCATTAGAAATATATTTTAACAGGGTTTGTCCCCGTATTACAATTAGAACCGCCTTAGAAAACCCTATCTCCCCTATCTCAGAAAACTATTAAAGAACGCCCTGCTTCAGAATTTGATTGAAGAACGCCCTATCTCAGAATTCGGTTAAAAAAGCCCTATCTCAAACGAAAATACATTAAAAATGTCATGAGATAAGGCATTTTTGAATCGGCAGCAATCGGGCAATAAAATTCTAAAATAGGGTGTTTTTCAACCAAGTTCTTAAATAGGGCGTTGTTGAAAAAA